GTTATGTATAATATATTACATTTCTGACTGTATATCCCTGTAATTATTACACACTGTAGCTTTAATACTTTAAAATGATAGCCATTCCAATCATTTAAGTCAGTGTCTTGAAGAAAATACTCAAACAGGGTTAAAGTTTAATCATTATACACCTGCTATTGTTTCCTGTTTCTCATCCAGAGTAAAAAAAATATAGAGTGATTTTAAATGGCTGTTGTATATTGTAGGCAAATCCAGAGAAATGTAAATGATGTCATTACAGTAAAGATGATTAAAATGTACTATGAACATGCTAATTTTGACTCCGCTAATGAATATATATATATATATATATATATATATATATATATATATATATATATATATATATATAACCTTGGTTATCAACCAAGTTGATAAAGTTTGAGAATAAAACATAAATATTAAAGCCTTTAGGCAAGGCAAATGTATTTGTATAGCACAATTCAGTACAATGACAATGCAAAGTGCTTTACATGATTAAAATATAGGAAAATAAAACAGAATCAAAGCAAGTAGGAAAAAAATAGATTAATAAAAAATGCAGAAACAAAAAAGAAAAAGTCTAATGATATTTCAGTTGAACTGTTTAACTAGAACAGTCAAAGGCAATCATAAACAAATGTGTTTTTAGTCTTGATTTAAAGGAACTCAGGTTTTCCGCACTTTTACAGTTTTATGGAAGTTTGTTCCAGATAAGTGGAGCATAGGAACTAAATGCTGCTTTTCTATGTTTAGTTCTGGTTCTAGGAATGCAGAGCAGGCTGGAGCCAGAAGACCTGAGTGGTCTGGAGGGTTGATACTTTAGAATTTCTTTTGAAGTTAACATTGAAAAAATAGATTTGTATTTGTTTTCAAATTTTATTCTAAATACTTTACAGCTTGATTACTCAGACCCCACTTTTTAATTCCCGTTTTACACCTTATATGTGTTTGAATAGTGAATTATACACTTCAGCCATAATCTTAACTTTTTTTGGTACAGAATGAACAAAAAAATGTTTTGTTAAACAAGCCCCCTTTTGTGCACAATCATTATAGTGAAAAAGAAGAGAATGATGAAAAGACTAATAAGAAGAAGAAGAAGAAGAAGAAGGAAAAGGAGGCGAAGGAGCCCATGGTTGGCCCATTCTCCGTGGTAAGCTTAGCTGCAGCCCTGATCCCCTCCTGTCAGAAAGATGGTCTTCATCTGTAAATATTTTTCAATTTTTCGCTTGATTTAAAAAAAGTGGTGTGAACTGAAATCTGTTAAAATCTAGTGAATAGGATTAATGTTAAATTAAAATGATGAATACTTACACAAATACATAAAATTCTGTTGTTGGTTTTCAATTACAAGCATAATAGAAACTTGTATGTGTGAGAGAAATACAGCAAGAAAGGAAGTTGGAGATCGGATGGGAGTGCATTACATCCTGCTGTTGTTCGGCTGAAGTCCACCGGTGTCCTGCTGCTTTCAGATAATACCTTCATGCAGTACGTCTCTGATGTCTCTGTTTCTTGTGTAGTTCAGGTTTGCAGACAGCTTGGACATTCTCATGCTTTTAGTCGGGACTGTGATGGCGATAGCCAATGGGGTGGTGCTTCCTCTCATGTGTATCGTCTTTGGAGACATGACAGACAGTCTTGTTAACAGCGCTTCCTCTAACACCAGTGCAACCCCCCCCAGTGAGTATTCCTATATGTATAGATGAGTATCTGTATGTATACATGTACACTACTTTAAGCAACTGACCAGACAGACTTTTCTGCAGTCGGTCACACTCATTTCCATTTGTCACATGACAATATCTGATGGTTTTTATTTCAATTAGTTTGTTGTATATTGTTGTTTAATCCTCCGCTTCACAAGTAGTTTTCACGTACTAGTACATTGTTTGTTTTTTTTATTCAATGAGATGTTTAATCAACATAGCTATAAGTAAATTGTTGACATAGATTAGCACTACAGACTGAAACAGTCAGATTTTATTACTCTTATGCAATCATTTGGAGAATTAATTTTTTTTATTAAACCATGTAATCTTGTGGATTTTTATTTTAGTAAAAATGACTGTCATGCTGCTCCTCACTGTATTTCTTCCATAGGATGTTTGAACCAAAACGTAGTTATACATATACATCATAGTACAGGTTATATTAGGAGTCTGCTGCAGTTCAGGAGCAACAAGTGGCTCTAACTAAATTAGCAAAGTTTTTTTTAATTTATTTTTTTTATTTATGGTAAAGTAATAAAAAGGTAGTTTTGTAGGTAAAATGTACTACCAATTTACTATTTTGACTCCGCTAATGTATTAGCACGCTTTTTGTAACCA